AGGAGCTTTGATTCAGACAGGGCTTTAGTGGGCTGGGGATATGGCTCAGGGCTTCAAGTATTTGCCACACAAGCACAGGGGGGTGAAGCTTGGATCCTCAGAATCGATATAAAATTCCCAGTGGATGTGGCAGGTCATCTATAATTCCATCCTCAGAGGGTGGAAGCTGCAGATCCCCAGAGCAAGCTGGCTAGCAAGACAAATCCTAGTGGAAATGTCTGGCTTGATTGAAAGAGCTTTCATCAAAACCAATAAGAAGGGATCAAGTATGATTTCCAGCAGTAACTTTAGGCCAAGGGCACACATGTACCTGTCTATATGCATGTGAAAACACACACACACACACACACACACACACACACACACACACACACACACACACACACAAACACACATATGCCTATATACCACAAACTCAGATACATAAAAGAAATAAGCAATAAAAAATCTGTTGGCAAAACTAAAATGACTGACATCAAGAAACCAATATGAACTAATGTGTAGAAAGTCTAACTTTACTTTTGTCCCCATGATAAAGATCTACTCCCTTTCTAGTAGTTTTCAAACTGATCATTTTTTAAATTATGATCAAAATAAATGCTATCACAAGATATCTTTTAAATGATTCCAAAGAACTGTATACTCTAGATTAAGGAAATTGATTGGCCAAGACCCAGTGACATTTGATCAACTAATACTATCTGTTAGAAGCAGCCTTTTCTATTTGTTTAACCAGTGCATAAGGGTTCTGTGGCTCCTTGCTTGGAATGCCACCTCTGAATCTAAAGTGCCATTTGTTAGGACTTTCTCCATGCCCTTTCTCATTGTGCTTCATGGCCCTCTTGACCTCTCAGCTGTGGGAAAATGGCTAAGTGAAGGGAAAAGAACGGGTCGATTTCCCCATCCTCCCAGAATAATAGCTAACAAGCAGGTGAACAGCTGCCTACTTTTCAGTGCCTTCTTTGAGCAGCCGCTAGGAAGAGACCAGACTTCTTTTCTTTCTTTCTGAGATCACTCAATTCATCTCTGCGCTAGTCAGCTTCCCATTACCAACAGCACAAGCACCTGAGACGGTCAACTTAGAGGGAGGCTCACCACTTTGGATATCTCAGCCCATGGTCATTTTGATTTGGGGCCTGAGATGAGGCAGCACATCATAGCAGCAGCATATGGCACAGAAAGTGGCTCACCTCATGGTGACCAGGAAACCAGGGGGAGGAAGAAGAGCTGGTGCCTGAAGGAACATGTCTCCAAATGCCTAGCTTCCTTCTACTGAACCCTGACTCCTAGAGACTCCACCCACTTCCAATAGGGTTCAACACACAGGCCTTTGGGAAATGTTATCCAAATTGGTGCATTTTTTCATCCAGTTCATCTGCTTTCTACTTGGAAGAGATTCTACCAGGATTCTTTCAATGTTCTCTTATAGTGACACCATTTTTTACTCTCCTGTGTCATCCTAAATAGTAGCAAATTCAGACACTCCTAACCAGACCTCACTTAACCCCCAAAGAGGGATGCCTCTCAGGGCTGGGTGCACTTTTTTATGTAAAAACTCTATTGAGTCATAATTTACATGCTGAGATTCACCCATTTAATTATAAAAATCAGTGACTTAGTAAACTTACCCAGTGCAGCTGTCACCACAATCCTGTTTTAGACTGTTTGTATCACCCCTGTAAGTTCCTTCATGAATGTTTTGAACTAATCTCTCTTCTCCTCACTCACAGGCAGCCATTCACCTACTCTCTGAGGATGTAATATTTCATGTATGTGCAATTATGTAACATATAGTCTCTGGATTTGGTCTCACTTTCTTATAATCACTTGAAGCTACTTCAAAAGCCTTTGTAGCCCTTTCACAAGCATCCAGGGCTAAATTTCCACATGTAAACTCTGACGTCATGGAATGCTGTTTTCTTGGTTTTTCATCATCTGGGAACCATGAGGGTGAATGGCTATTACAAGTGCTAAAGCAACTACATGGAGGAGTATTCTTAAAGGAAAGCAAACAGACATCTGGGCTTCTCTGTCAAGGTTGGGTTTGCATCATCTATGAAATCCTTGTTTGTCAGCCAGGGATTTTTCTGTCCAGCTAATGTTGCATTTTCCTCTGTTCAACTATCATTTCATGACCTTTGAAAAGTCACTTCGCAGTTGAAAAGTTTGCTTTATTCTTCAAGTAGGAAAGAAAACATAGGTGGGCAAGGCGTTCAGAGGTAACAGCATTTATTCTCTTCAATTTCTCCTCTGTTCTCCTTCTTTCCCTCACTACTGGACTGGAGTTTGAATGGCAGCCATGATGCAAAGAAAACAAAAGTGATTCTAATGAAAAGCATCTATTACAGGTATTTTAGTTTTCAAAATGTACTTTTTTCCAATGGATCTGTCTGCGTTTATCATCCTTTTAAATAGTGTTATATGTCCATTTTGAAAATCTATTTTTTTGACAGTGTGGAGGATCAACCCCAGTGTGTTGGGTATGCTAGGCCAATGTTCTGCCCCTGATCTACAGTCTGAACTCTTGTTTTGGTTTTGGTTTTGTCTTGTTTTTGAGATAGGTTCTTACTATTCAGTCCAGGCTAGCCAAGAACTTTTTACCCTCCCACCTCTACATATCTCCTGCCCAGGATAATAAATGAGCCACTACATCTGGCTATTATCTGTGATTGTTTCTTTAAAAAAAACTTTCTGTGTTAATACATAGATTTTAGAAATACCACTATAATGACTGGAAATGTCCTATCTATCTGGTTTCCTGACACAGGCCTTCTCAGCTATTTCTTTGCTATGATAGATGGTGTTGCATGCTCATATATATGGACTCTTGCTGTGGTGATATATTTTTTATGATCTAATAAAGCTTGCCTGAAGATCAGCATGTAAAGCTAGCCACAGCCATAGAGGCCAGGCAGTGGTGGTACACACCTTTAATCCCAGTAGCCACACTAGTTAGCCATAGAGGCTGGATAGTGTGGTAAATGCCTTTTATCCCAGCAGTAGAGAGGTATATAAGACAGAAGCTCAGGGTCTCATTTGGCATTCAGTTTCAGTGAAACTAAATAGCAGCTCAGTAGAGATGCAATCTGAGACCAGCATCAACCATTTCAGTCTGAGGTAGAGGTAAGAGCCAGTGACTGGCTGCTTTGCTTTTCTAATCTTCAGCTTGAACCCCAATATCTGTCTCTGGGTTTTTTATTATTCATGCTACACTTTACCATAAATTATTTCCTTATAACAAATTCCCAGAAATGATATTTTTATTATAATTTTAGTAATTTATCTTTTACATTCCAATCCCAGTTCCCCCTCTTCTGCTCCCACTCCCCCCACCCCACCCCCTCCTCCCATCTGCTCCTCAGAGAGGGTAAGGCCTCCCCTAGGAAGTCTACTGAGTCTGTCCTATTATCTTGTTGAGGCAGGACCAAGGCAACTCTCCACCCCCACACCCCTGTGTCTAGGCTGGGCATGATATTTCTTAAAGACCATTTTTTTTAGCTCTGTGAACATAATGCCAGATTGCTTTCTAAAAATGTCCCACCGTGGCCAGGAGATGGTGGTGCATTCCTTTAATCCCAGCACTCAAGAGACAGAGGCAGGAGGATCTCCATGTTCAAGGCCAGCATGGCCTACAGAGCAAGTTCCAGGACAGCCAAGGTTACATAGAGAAACCCTATATCTTAAAAAAAAAAAAAAACCCAAAAATATAAAAACTGTGCACTGTTCTGCAAGGGAGAAGCCTGATCAGAGTGAGCAGATACAGGGGAATACAGTCTCCAGGCAAGGGGCCTGCATTCATAGCTGGACCCCTGAAGGGTCAGCCAGTATTATGAGCAGTATCTGTGACCTACTCTGTGACAGATTGACCAGGGGTGTAACAGGCATCTAGGATCCTGAAAAGTCCGGACTGGAACCAGCAAACATACAGTATTCTACTCTCAGGGAGTGCTGACAATTGATACCTGTGCTCTTAACCCAAGTATGAAGAAAAATGCTACTTCAACTCTACTATAACTTAGTCTCTCTTAAATATTGCATACTTCTACTGAATGAATAAGGGTGATTTAAAAAAAATCTAACAAATGACGTAACCCCAGATATTCAGGTTCCAATACACACACAGGGGGTGGGGGGAGGAGAGGAGAGAACATGAAAAACGACAATGTTTCTCCTCCAAAATTTACTAAACCTATAATAATGATCTTCTATTAGAGTAGATGAGACCCCAATCAAAGGATTCAGAAAAATGATTATAAATATGTTCAAAGAACTCAGGGAGGATACAAATAAAGTTCTGAATGAATACAGGAAGCCAACACAGGTTATAAAATTAAAATTCAATAAGATAGGTCAGGCTGGAAGACAAGGTAGATGAATTGTATAACATTTGATGGCAAAGATAAGTTATTAAGAAAGTACTAACAGAACATATGAGGTCTATGAGACACTACAAGAAGACCAGCAAAATGATACATGCCTGTAACCCCACTGCTGAAAGGCACAAAAACAAGCTTAAAGCTAGGGAGCTGGCCAGATTATGACAACCTGAGTTTGACCCCTGAGATCTACATGGTAGAAAGAGACAACTGACTTTCATAATTTGTCCTCCAACCTTCACACTCATGCTGTGACATGCCCCATACCACAAGTAATTAAACAGGTGCTTGTTCTTTTAAAAACAAGTTGTAAGCTAGCTTTGGCTACACAATGAGTCCAAGTTCAATGCAATTGAACATTACTACAGAAAGGATCCCTGTCTCAAATAATAAAAACAAGAAAATTTTATATAATCTTCACTCATCATTTTATATGGTTAATAAAGACACTAGTCTTTTAATCTTTTTGCTTCAATTTGTAGTTACCAGTGATAGGTGTCACCACAATTATTCTGGGACTGGTAGTTAGGCATTTTAGATGCCTATAGCTGGAGTAGTCAAATTCTTCAAATATGAATGTTAACCTTGTCGTGCTAATGACATGTTCTGTTTATTTGGGAGCAGGAAGCATCTATGATTTTTACTTCCTCAAACAAGGTGGTGGACACTGGAATGCATGGACAGAATATATCACCAAAGAGGAGGAGACTATCCCTGCAAATGCAAAGGTAAAAGAAATGTTATGGTTTCTGGATTTTCCCAAGTACCCTTCCAGATAGAAGAACTACCAGCTCCCTGAGAGCATTTCCAGGAAGTGTTTTGCAAAGATCAAACCCTCAAAGCATAGTATCCAAGAGATCTAGATTCCTTATGTAGGCTTCCAGCTCCTTGCCTCAGTTTACCCAACCATAAGATGGAAGAAAAAAATAAAGGATGACCAACAAGATTGAAGGTTGTATACACCCCATGTGTCTGTCAGATAGTAAGAGTTAGGTAGGTGATTGTCACTATTCTAATTATTGTCCTTATCCACAACATCATAATTACTTCTTAGTCATCTAAGACTTAAAAATCCACTTTATATCCTCAGAGAAAGATTTGCTCCAGCAGAACTCTCAGAAAAATGGGTTCTAATCAATGGATTTTCTGGGTAGTGGCTAATTCACATATACTTTAGTCCTACAGAGAATATGCAAAATGTGCACTCTTGTGCTGTGGCAGGACCACAGCAACTCTCATAAAAAATGCTCTAGACAGGGTGATGCTGTGCTTCTCTCAGGACACACACCCTAGGGACTGGTACTGAAAGAAACCCCAGCACTGAGACCCTTGGCTCTAAATGTCAAGAAGAACATGTTCAACTTCCATATTGAAAGTACTTCTGAAGGGACCAGCCCCCCATTTCGGCAGCTGTGACAGTAACACGTGCTCGCTATGACCTTGCCTTGGTCACTAAGAGGTTAGGTGCCTGCCTCGTGGCAAGGAACCAATCAGAAGTTAGTTATGGTGCTATGCTTTATGGCTCTGGGTGTGCTTTACGGACAAGTGCACAGCAATGACGCGTAAAGCATAGCAACCACCCTGGGAGGGCCTATGGGCCATAACAACCAATTGGCCAATCAACACAGGGCAAGCCCTCCAAGCCTGGAGGCATACCAATCCTGAGCCTGGACACTCCCCTAACACTGCCCTACAAGATTTCTTGGCAGCCCGTTCGAGGTGTCTTTTCTAGCCATCCGCCATGGCAGGGGGGGGAAAGACCGAGCTAACATGGGTGTAGCTCGTTAAAAAACAATAAAGCCTCATGCAGTTTGCATCAAGCTCTCGAATCTGCCTGGTGATTGGGGTGACCGAGGGTGTGGCCTGGGACCCTGGATACCTGAGTTTTTCCGGGGGTCTAACACTTCCATATGAAAACATGAGGGATTCAGTGAGCATAGGCTTCGGGACCCAGAATCTCAATGTTGGGAAAAGTGGGTCAGGAACAAGAGAAGTTCCAGGCTCATGTTGCATTAGCTTTGTATCACTGTGGTAGAATGTCTGGAGAGTCAGCTCAGAGAAGAAAATGCCTACTCTGGATGATGGCTTTATGTCATACTCTCTTGACCCCATCATCACACAGCTGATGGTTAGGTATGACATTACTGCAGAAGAGCTCAGCAGAGAAAACCTACTCACATCATGACACCTAGGCAGCAGAGAGAGAAAGACAGGATACAGCCCTGAAAATGTGCTCCAAAGACCCCCCTTACCCTCTTCAATGAGTCTACCAACTACCAATAAGCCAATGAGTCATGAACCAATCAAGGGATTAATCTACTGCTGGAGTCAGAGCCCTCAGGATCAAGTTACTTTACAAAAAACCCACTTCTGAACATTTCTACGTGGGAAACCAAGCTTTCATTCATCACATTAGTCTTTTGGAGATATTCCAGGCCTAAACCATAACACACCTAAACCTTCTGAGTCAGAATTGGAGGCACATGGAAGGTGGATCTTGGTTGAAAGGAAGTCTCAGAGATAGAAGTCAAGGACTGGCCCTTATTATTATTGGTTTTTATAACAGTTTAGTATTATGAAGGTAGACTTTAGAATCATACAAGCTGGAATTCAAATCTCTGCCTTTCCACTTACTTCCTATGTTGCTTGAGCAAGTTGAAAAAGACTTCTGTACCTCTGCTTCCTCAGGGACAATAGCACTCACCTTTGTGTGTTTGGTCCCATTTGATCTCTGACAACTGTGTACTGAATGCCATGATTATCCCCATTTCAGAATTGAAACAAAGGACCCTTGAAAGGTTAAATGGTTGTTCAAGGTCATAAAGATAGTAAAACATAGAGCTACAGTTCAAATCCAGATCCCTTGAATCCTAAGACTCCAGGACCAAAATGTCTTGTATCTTTGTGAAACAGGTATCAGACCTCATCATCCCCACGATGGAGACTGCCCGGCAGTCCTTCTTCTTAAAAACTTTCCTGGACCATGAGATTCCGATACTGTTTGTGGGTCCTACAGGCACTGGCAAATCAGCCATCGTCAACAACTATCTTCTCCATCTTCCCAAAAGTATTTACTTGCCCAACTTCATCAATTTCTCTGCCAGAACTTCAGCCAACCAGACCCAGGATATCATCATGTCCAAGCTGGACCGTCGGCGGAAAGGCCTTTTCGGGCCTCCTATAGGGAAGAAAGCAGTGGTGTTTGTAGGTAAGGGATTGGCTTGGGTCTGGGTAGACTGAGTTCTTGTATCTAGAACTTTCCCCACTCTCTCCAGCAGATGATTTAGCAATCCTTCCATCACCTTCTCACCTCCTTCTGCCTTCCCTCCCTCCTTTCTTCCTTCCTTCCTTTCTTCCCTCCCTTCCTCCCTCCCTTCCTTTCCTCTCTGCTTTCCCTTTTCCTTCTTTGAAGTGAACAATATTCCTAGGAGACTGTGGTGGTAGCAGCTAAACTCTGACACCTCCAGAAGTAACATTTGTGTCCATCTGCATCAGATAAGTGAGCTATCACTAAGTGACAGCAGATAAGTAGTCTGTCCCTAAGTGAAGTAATCCAATAGTTGCTAAGAAAATGTTTGTGAAGTAGGAACATAGACTTTCTCTCAATGCTCGCCATTGTAAAAAGCACTTCCTTCTTCTTTTTTTTTTTTTTTTTTCCATTTGGGCCTCAGACCCAAATGATTAATCATCATGATTGTACTAGCTTGGCTGCTGACTCAGGAGGTACTCATAATGCCCCTGCTGTCTTGGGTCATCTTGTGTCCTCTACTTTAAACTCACGTATTAATAATACACATTTCATGGTTATATTTATATCCTTATGGACGCACATCATCTCCTGAAAGTCAGGAATCTTATCTGTTTTATTTTTCCTTCTTTTTCTGTCTTTCCTTTTTTCCCTCCATCCAGGTCTCCCACCCTATTTTTATGATGTATGCAAAGTCAGTTTAAGCCTTGCAGCTAAACCAAACTAGGTTCCTATATCAATTTTCAACCCTAAGTATAGTTTGACTTAGCCTCCCTGATCTGAGGGTCAGGGTTTTTTCCTCAAACACACAGGTAATGCCATGTCCTTTAATGTCATATTTGCATTAAATGAGTTAATTTGTCTAAAGTTCCTAAAATGTTGAGTTGCACAAACTGATCATTCTACCAATAATTGTTGAGGAAAAATGAAGAGAGCCTTCACTGGATTTGGTGTCTCCTATATTCCAAGACTGAGCAATGTGTTCCAGGAGGAAAATGTTCTTGCACTTAAGAGAACCTGTAATCCATTTTGAGCCTTACGAAAGGGCCTAGTTCAAAGCCTTGCTCTGACCAGAGCTCAGCTATTGCATGTTGTCTTAATGCCCAATCAAGGGAAAAGGTTTTTACTCAGTTAGTACAGAATTTGCTTAGCATGTAGAGAGGTCCTGGGTTCAATGCCCATCACACTGAAAATTACATGTTAGCTGGCAGACAGCATGTCTATAGAATTTGAGATGAGCCTGGGCAGTACAATGAGACTCCTACCCAAGATAGAAAACACAACAAAAGGAAACTTTCAGCAGATCCCTTATTCTCACATACTTAACAATTAACAAAGTGCCTGTAGTGTAGTAGACAGTGTATTTTGGCTAAGGAAAATGAGGGAAAGTTAAATCTTTATTTGTTGATGCCAGCTCAAGTATCCTATAGTCATATGGACAAGGACTTCAATAAGATAGCAAAGTCTAAACCCAAGAAAATCCTTTCCCATCTGGGCTTCTGACTGGGTTGTCGTGACCCAGCATGTTTCAGCCTTAGTCCATGAGGTTTGGCCTGAGTGGGGGTATGTGGACCTGGAAGCTCCTAGCAACCCAGCGACAATAAAGACCAAACACAGGCATCTTGTCATCTTTAGAGAGCTCTCAGTTCCATGTTGTAGAACTAGAGTCATTTCTTTATTAGCCATCTTTTCTGCTAATCCTGTCATGACCACGAGGGAACCGTCTCTCTTTGTTCTCCTCTCTCCTCTGGTCTCCTCCTAACTCTCTTCTTCCCTGGTCATCCACATACCATGCACCTCCACCCAGGTGAGGGCCTATTCAGATGCTTAGGCTGCTTAGGCACATAGAAATGCAAATAGGAGGCATATTACCCTGAGGCCATGGTAAACAATAGTAGCCCTACTGGCAATTAACAATACAATGGTGAGCCGGAGCTTTCCGGTGCTCCATGTTTACAGGAGCTGGAGGCTGGGCCCCAAAATATTCCATAACAGAATTATTTGGTCCCCCACACTGGGTCTGGAATGGGGATGGGGGTCACTGGACACAGACATTCTCATAAAGGGAACAGTCATTGGTTACCCCTGTAGGACCAGAGGATCCTATGTACTCACAGTGTGTGTGGCTTCCTTCTACAGATGATCTGAACATGCCAGCCAAAGAGATATATGGAGCTCAGCCTCCCATTGAACTTTTGAGACAATGGATTGACCATGGCTACTGGTTTGACAAGAAAGACACAAACAGGCTAGACATTGTAGATGTTCTGCTTGTGACTGCCATGGGCCCCCCTGGAGGAGGGAGGAATGATATCACTGGTATGTCTCGGAAGAGGGTTTACTTCTCATTCCACTCCCCTGCAGAGCTGGCCATCATGGAGGAATTAGTTCAGGGCCTTCTGACAGGACAGAATGTGGAGTGTGCCTTTGCGCACAGCTGGGAAGGTTTCAGTTAGCTCCAGACTTAAAGTTGGAATGTGCAGTGGGATGGGAAGATGACAAGAGTCTGTTAGGAACTCTTTGTCTATTCACCAAAAAGGGGTGTCCCATCAGAAGAGAGAGCTACAGGGCTGCATTTGCCTTGGATCTGAGCACAGCAAAGTCTAGGGAACCTTGAATCCATAGGGAGGTTTTTATATTACTATTTTCTATAGCTTGTTCAAACAGGAATGTGTGTCCAGAACATATAGCAACGGGCAGTTTTCAAGTTCAGTCTTAAATAAGACCTCTGAAAAGTGTCTGTCATAAAAGATAGTACTCAACTCCTGCCAGGAACATGTGTGTAATCACATGAGATCAAGCACAGGCTGCTCCCAGTGAGAGCATCCATGGGAGCTCAGGAGTGCCAGGTGGAGGGAGCTAAGTGGGTTTGTGGGGTGATTTATGGGGAGTAAGGAAACAGTGTCCTGCTCTGAACTGGGTCCTCTCAGGAAGTTAGGATGATCTGATGAGTTCATTTTTATCCAGAATCTGGAAAGATGAAGAGAACCCAGTGTTGTCACTTGGTAAAGAAGCTGAATCACTCATATTAGCTGTGAGGGAGGATACTGGGTCACTTTCATTGTTGGCAACACAATCTTGTTTCTATTGTAATCTGTCACTGTCAAGGAATGATTACATTTGATGCTGATGTTTTTAGAACGGTATATATATATATATATGCATCACTTCATGTATGCCTGGTGCCTTTGGAGGCTGGAAGAGAGCACCAGATCCCCAGGAACTGAAGTTATAGACAATTGTAAGCCTCCATCTGGGTGCTGGGGACCAAACCTGAGTCCTCCCCAAAAGCATCAAGTCCTCTTAACCACTGAGCCATCTCTCTAGCCCCTAATGCTGATATTTAGTGAAATTGTATTCAGTAGGGAACTGAATTGAACCCAGGACCTCTGAGCCGCCTCTTCAGCCTCACAATATTATTTTTAAAAACTAATTTTTAAAACTCCATTAGTATTCAGATGGGGAAACTGAAGTTCAAGGCAGTGTATTGTGGTTATTGACAGTGCAGTGATTGAGAACACAGCAACAAATAACCCATTTTTGGCAAACACAGAGAAAGCACAAATTTATGTTAAGTATTATTTTTCATCAAAATACTAAATGTCATAAAATTCACATATCTACCAATAAGCAACATAGAAAATATCAATCTATCTCCACATGTATGTACATACACATATACATGCACCAACATGCACATGTATACACACCTCTATGTACAAATGCATAACACACACACACACACATACACACACACACACACAATGGTAGAAAGATATTTTAAAAAGAAGACACCCAACCAACATTAAACTCTGGTTTACACACATATACCACATATACATACCCACATATGAACACATGAATACCAAGCACACACACACACATACACATACATGCAAGAGTGCATTCATACCAGATACAGACACATACACACAAATCTATGCATGAATACATATATATCAAACAGACATACACACATTCATACCAAGCATACACAGACATATAAAAATCAGTCTACTGTTACTTTTTTAACAAGAAAAAATGTACATATGTGTACTTTACATTTATTTACTTATTCTTATATGTGTGGGTGTTTTGCCTGCATGTATGCCTATATACCATGTGCATGCAGTGCCCAGGAACTCCAGAAGAGGATGTTAGATGCCCTAGGCCTGGAGTTACAGAGAGTTGTGAGCTCCATGTTGGTGCTGAGAATTGAACCTGGATCCACTGGAAGAATAGCCAATGCTCTTACCCACTGAGTCATCTCTCCAGCCCCTATATATGCCTGTTTATATGCATGTGTTTATAAAACACAGAAACTACATAATATATATGCATATATACACATATATACAGATATATAATATCTTTTGGTTCTTCCCAAATCTATAAATAAATGCAGACAACTTACAGAGCCCCAGTTCCCAAAATGCTGATGATTAGGAACAAACCCCAGACAACTACAGGACCTGCAAGCTCTGCACATGTGCAAGAGAAAGCAGGAGGAAGCAATGGGACTCCAGAGGCCTGGGATTGGTGAATCAGGAAATGGTGGCTAACTTGGGAACAGAGAGCAAAGTTAGGGAAACTCTTTCTACATAACAATGTTTTAGTTATTTGGCTATTCTACAGTAATCAGATATTTCCTTTAGTTTTTAAAAATAACATTGTGAGGCTGAAGAAATGGGTCAGCAGTTAAGAGCAGATATCATTCTCGCAGAGGACCTGGGTTCAATTCCCAGGACAGTTCACAACTGTCTGTGACTGTAGCTCCAGGGGAACCAATAGCCTCTTCTGGGTTCCTCAGACACCAGCATTCACACATGCACAGACACACACAGAGACACACGTGGAGACACATGAGAGGAGAGGCCCTGGAGCAGTGAAGAACACTAGCTGCTCTTACAGAGGATCTGGCTTTGATCCCAGCACCCAAGTGATTGCTCACAACTCTCTGTAACTCTGGTTTCTAGGGACCCTGTGCCTTTGGTCTTCAGGGCACAAGGTAATACACAGGGTGCACAGACTTACACAGAAAGCAAAACAAATTTTAAAGTAAGTGAATGAAAGTAAAATCTTAAAAATAAAAACAACCTTGTGTTCCAGAGGAGGCACTGTTAGCATCACTTCTGCAAATCATGGAGGCAGTTTGTTCCCCAGCCACTCATGGCTACTGAGCACACGTCATGTAACCAGTGAAACCGAGGAAGTCTATTCTTGATGCTATACCTTATATTAAATATAAATAACAGCAGGTGGCTAGAGGCTGACACATTGGATGGCAGGGCTACAGGACATGAGGGGACACTGACTCTGCTCTTTCCCAGAGTCACTAGGTCTGGGAAGTGTTCAGGTAAACTCAATGTCCATATGTTTCCAGGACGGTTCACTCGCCATCTTAACATTGTTTCCATCAATGCCTTTGAAGATGAAATCTTAACCAAGATTTTCGGTTCTATCGCTGACTGGCACTTTTCGAAAGGATTTGATGTCATATTTTTGAGGTAAGAAGTTCCTGTGGCTTCCTGCTTATTGTCCTGGGGGGTCCTCATTTCTGCTTGGCTATGTGACTAGTCTGCCTCCCTCTTCCTCCCAAGGTATGGGAAGATGCTGGTCCATGCTACTCTGACAATCTATAGAGCTGCAGTCGAGAACTTCTTGCCAACTCCCTCCAAATCACATTATGTCTTTAATCTTCGGGATTTCTCACGGGTGATCCAGGGGGTACTGCTATGTCCCCACACCAACCTGCAGGTCAGCTGCTACTGTTTCTGTCTTGCAAATCTTTTGTCAATATTCTTGGGTGTATACTAATAGCATGCCTAGTAAGATGGGCTTTTATCAATCACAAACTCTATTCTCCAATGTGTTCATGGCATAGTACTTTTTATCTGTTGTCTTATTTATGCCTCACATAAACCCCAAGATTTAGAGACCTTTTGAGAACCATCACCCCAAGCACCATCTTTAATTCATTCAAATGACTAACTCTTTAGGATTTGGAAAAATTTATCCGGCTTTGGATCCATGAGGTTTACCGAGTCTTCTATGACCGTCTGATTGATAACGAGGACAGACAGACTTTCTTCAACCTGGTAAAGGAAACTACCTCCAATTGCTTCAAGCAGACAATGGAGAAGGTGAATCTTTTTTTATTTATTTTGTTTTGTTTTTCTGACACAGGGTTTCTCTGTATAACAGTCCTGGCTATCCTGGAACTCACTCTGTAGATCAGGCTGGCCTAAAACTCACAGAGATTCGCCTGCCTCTGCCTCCCAAGTGCTGTGATTAAAGGCGTGCGCCATCACTGCCTGGCTGGAAAATCTTATTCTACAATCATCTGGCCTCAGAAACAGGCCCACATTAGTCTCAAGCTCTAGATTCTATTCCCAGTAAAGACCACTCTTCTCCCTGAACCATGGAAAATAGCACATACATAAGTTAGTCATTTAATTTGTTGTTATTTTACTTGGCCCAATTTTGCTTCATTTCTATGATAACATATAAGTTTCAGTACACTCAAAATGGCTCATAAATGATGCTATTTATTTTAAATCAGTTTAAGGGGCTAGAGAAATGGCTCAGTGGTTAAGAGCAGGCCTTCTCTTTCAGAGGACTACTTTTGGTTCCCAGCACTCACATGGAGCAGCTCACAATTACCTCTGACAAAGGCTCCAGGGGATCCAATGTCCCCCACAAGCACTTGCACACACATGCACATACCCACACATAAACACACAGGAGTGTACATAATTAAAAACAAAAGTAAGTCGCCGGGCGTTGGTGGCACATGCCTTTAATCCCAGCACTCGGGAGGCAGAGACAGGTGGATCTCTGTGAGTTCGAGGCCAGCCTGGTCTCCAGAGAAAGTGCCAGGATAGGCTCCAAAGCTACACAGAGAAACCCTGTCTCGAAAACAAACAAACAAACAAACAAAAAAAGTAAGTCTTTAAAAATAAAATTAATTCAACTTAAAATACATTCTAAGACCAATTCATTTGGCTTTGGGGAGAAAAACACAGATTTTTATAATTTGGCCAAGACCCTGGTAAAATTCAGCCAAAAGATTCAGCATCACAGAGTTGTGAACACTTTCTTCCTATATTTGCATCTTAATTTGCTTTACCAAGCAGGGAAAACATAGGAGTGTCTTATGCTGCGTCCAGAAGCCAAGAGCAGAGGAACTGACAGACCCTCATATCATGGGGAGGAAACATCTAAAGCCCTCTACTCTAGGCAGCATAAAGAGTAGGGATATCACCCACACTGCTGTTTGGTAAAGGACCAAACATAGGAAAGTGATGCCATCCTTCCCCTGCCTTCTGTGGGACCTTACAAGCTAACAACCAATATTTAGCAACTTGGGGAGTAGTATATGTGCATATGGAACACAGATGTGTATGTGAGGCTGAGTTTAGTGGCAGACTCTTTTAATTCCAAGAGGATCTCTGTGAGTTCATGGACAACCTAATCTACATAGCTAGTTCCAGGCTTTCCTGGGCTACCCAGCAAGACCATGCCTAAAAACAAACAAGCAAAAATGGAGTCAGGGCTGGGGAGTTGGCTCAGTTATTAAAAGCACTTGCTGCTCTTCCAGTTTGCCTCTCAGCACCCACATCAGGCAATTCACAACCACCTGTAACCGCAACTCCAAGAGACCCAACTCCCTCTCTGGCCTCTAAAAGTACCCCCATAACATGTGTGACATACACACACAAATAAAATTTTTTTTAAAAATTTATGTGTACATGTACCTGTGTGAGGGTATATACATATGAGTATGGTACCCTCAGGGGTCAAAAGAGAGTGTTGGCTACCCTACAACTGAAGTTACAGGCGGTTGTGAGCTGTCTGATATTGGTGCTGGGACCTGAACTTGGGTCCTCTATTGAGCCACACATGCTCTTAACCACTTTGCTAGCCCCACCCACACCTCTACTGTTCTTTTATCCAACCATCACATCCACATATTGTGTTTAAAATATTTATATTGATGAGCCATGGTTTGGAAGATGTGCTCAGGAAAAATAAGCAGGTCTCCTTTTTGCTCCCTCCCACTACCCACAGCCAGCCTGGGTCACAGGCTAAGGGCCCAGCTGACACTTAGCTTTCCCACAGGTGCTCATCCACTTGTCACCCACTGGGAAGATAGTCGATGATAACATCCGTAGCCTCTTCTTCGGGGATTTTTTGATTCCAGAAAGTGACAAAAAAATCTATGATGAGATCACTGACCTGAAACTACTCACCGGGGTTATGGAGTATTATCTAGATGAGTTCAACAGCATCAGCAAGGCCCCCATGTCTTTGGTCATGTTCAAGTTTGCCATTGAACACATCTCCAGGATCTGTAGAGTCTTGAAGCAGAACAAAGGCCACTTGCTCCTGGTGGGCATTGGGGGCAGTGGGAGGCAGAGTGCCACCAAACTATCCACATTCATGAACTCATATGAGCTATACCAGATTGAAATCACAAAGAATTACACAGGCAATGATTGGCGAGAGGACCTGAAAAAGATAATGCTGCAGTCTGGAGTGGCCACCAAGTGTACCGTATTCCTCTTCTCGGATAACCAGATCAAGGATGAGTCATTTGTTGAAGACATCAACATGCTACTGAACACAGGCGATGTGCCCAATATCTTCCCAGCCGATGAGAAGGCTGAACTTGTGGAAAAGATGCAGACAGCAGTCAGGACAGAAGGAGAAAAGATTGAAGTCACTCCTGTGTCTATGTACAACTTCTTCATTGACAGAGTGAAGAAGAACCTTCACATTGTCCTTGGTAAAAAATGGCAAAGTCTGCATGCCTTTGGTCTCTGGTGTCTTGAGGGTCTTCCCAATATCTCTAATCCAGTCTCCTTTACTGACCCCAAAATTGTCTAACCAAGGCACCAACCAATGGTCACAATCTAGGCTTCTTTTGGCAATTTATCTCAACAACTGTGCTGAGCCTATTCCAGTCTCTTCAGTTCTTGGAATTCTTTGAGAAGGATCACAGCTTAGCATTATTACCTGGCACAGAACACCAGTGCTGTCCATGAATTACCAGACAAACTATCCATAAACCCATGGGATGTGCTTAACTGTTCTCTCCTGTTCACCTTTCTCTGTTCCTGTACCCTTCATGTAGCCAAGCCACTATTGTCTCTTGAAGATCTCACCTTTGTACTGTCCTTTCCTGTCTCTGTTTTTGTTCATTTTAGACTTGTCTGATCCATTAATCCAGAGTGAGTTTTTTTTTTTCTGTGTTGGAGATAGGGTGAGGGTGGGTGTGTGTGTGTGTGTGTGTGTGTGTGTGTGTGTGTGTATGCACATGAACACACAAGTTAAAATAATCACTTCCTGTTAGGATGGGGATTAAAGGACAAAACTTTCTCACCTATGTCTTATAAGGTCACCCATCAAACTACCCCACTGTACTTCTCTACCCTCGTCTGAAGCCAGATTCCTTTCATGGCCCTCCAGCCACACTGACCTCTCACTACTTCCACCTATGCCTCATGATTCCCCCAAACACTAAATAAGCAGTGAATGGAATTTGAGGTGCAGAACTAGGAGTCTTTGGCTGGATGAAGTTGGGGTCAGAAATAAACCATTAGCAACTTCTGTGGGTATCTAAACATGAGTACCTTATATTAAAGCATAGAACAAATAGGACAAAGGGCTCTATCCCCACTAAGGGACCCTAAGGCACAATAGTGCATACAGGAGATTATTTAAAAGGACTACCATAATATATGGAGACTCTATCATAAAAATATCCCATGATTCCACTGTTTCCCAGGCTCTCATCATGGCTATTTATAACTACATCACCATAGGACTAACAAGGAGCATTACTGGCCCCTTGGAAACTTCTCTCTTCCCTTTGCTTCTCCAAGCCTTGGTAGAAGGGAAATAATGAAACCTGTTTTTTTAATTAGCCATGAGTCCAATCGGGGATGCCTTCAGAACACGCCTGAGAATGTTCCCTTCACTAATCAACTGCTGCACAATTGACTGGTTCCAGGCCTGGCCAACCGATGCCCTAGAGTTGGTGGCTAATAAATTCCTAGAAGACGTGGAGCTTGATGACAGCATTCGGACAGAGTAAGCTTCAGTTTCATTCCAGTACCCCAGGTATTCCAAGCTGAAATTCGGCTGGCTGTTTATGTTGTTTTAAAGATTTCTCAATATATGGCTAGAAAATATCTTACAACATTTTTGTTAGCTGTTTAATACAGCACCTTTGCTGAAAGAGAAAAGAAGTGAGGGCCTGTGAGACAGCTCAGAAGGTAAAGGCCCCTGACAACCTGAGTTCAATCCCCAGAGCCCACATGGTGGAAGGAGAAAATTGACTCCTGCACGCTGTCCTCTGACCTCCACATGCACATGCACATTTAGACACATGGAAAATAAAAATGTAACTGAAAAGTTCTCTGCACCCTGGAAGCTGCTTCAGACTGCCAAAGATCAGAAAGTCCTGCAGAAGCCCTGGTGGTTCATAAAAGGGCCAGGGTCATCCCAGTAGACTATTCCCCTCCCTCCTCTTCTCTCCTTGGCTCTGTTCACCTGTTGGATTCTAGCAGGCCAGTGTGGCCCCTCTGGTGCCCTGGTGTCCATTACTAAGCGATGCTAGATGACCTCTGTAGGAAGTTGGGCCCCAGTTAACCTCTTTGATTTCCTTGGCAGGGTCATCTCCATGTGCAAATACTTTCAGGAGAGCGTGAAGAAGCTTTCTCTTGATTATTACGACACACTTCTCAGGCACAACTATGTGACCCCCACCTCTTACCTTGAATTGATCCTAACCTTCAAAACTCTCCTGAATAGCAAGAGACAAGAGGTGGACACCATGAGGAACCGCTACTTGGCAGGCTTGCAGAAACTGGAATTTGCATCTTCTCAAGTGAGCGTTTTCATAGAACAGGGGGAAAGGGGCCTGGATATGCTGGGGGTGTCAAGATACAGAATGTAAGAGGGCATCAGATAAAGACAGGACCCAACCTGCACTTGCACTGCTCACCTCGATTAATTCATTTAATCTCAGATTTGTGTGATCCTGATTTAGTTAAGATTTTACTCTCTTGTTCATTTTGGATTTTTTTTTTTTTTTGGTATTAATTTGGTCTCTTGAAGTACCACAGTAAGGAGGGCATGGTTGCACATAGATTTAATCCTAGTGTTCAGAAAGCAGAGGTGAATCTCTGTGAGTTCAAGGGCAGCTTAATAATAATAATAATGATAATAATAATAATAATAATAATAATAATAATAATAATAATAATAAAAGTAAGTTCTAGCCCCTGGCTAGTCTGGGACTATTTTTGACCTTTTCTCAAGGGGAGGGGGGTAGAATAAAGTATCGTTCATACTGAGTACAGGCACTCCCGTGGAGTTAGGACCTCAGCTGTGGCTTCTTTGTGAGCCTTGGCAGGAGAAGGTGGGCTTTGTAAGGGTAGACCTGAACTCAAATTATTGCTGTCTGACCTGGCAGTGTGACACTATGACACGGGGACAAGTAACAATGTCAGAAGTATACTCCACTGATCTGGTACTAGGGGTGCTGGGTCTAATGTTGAAAGCTAGAGTCTATCTAGATAAGAAATGAGAAAGCCATGTTGTAGGAGAAGCAGAAAAGGGGCCTCAAATAGTCTAGACCTGAAAGGGAAAGAGCACCAGTTAGCATGCTCTGAACCTTGTATGTCACATGTCTGGTGCTGTGTACCAGAAAGCACTGCCATCTTCTCCTATTACAAAGAAACCACGACACAAGAGAGGCCAGGTGACATGCCCGTGGTCATTCAGCCTAGTGAGCAGTCACACCAGAGCCAGAACTCAAACAATCTTGATCCTAGGGTTGATTCCCAACCAGGCGAGCCTGCCACGCCCTGGTTTCCTCATAGGCTCCTGGGGGTGAAAGTGCATGGAGAGAGATTCTGACTCTTCATTGGGGAAATCTAATGAGTTTCGCTTTCTGAATGATTACAATCCCCTGAAAAGTGCTGAGGCCCCATCACAGAAGGTGCTCAAACAGCCCCAAAGGCACTTGGTAGGAATATTCCCAAGAGCATTGACTGGATAAGAAGATGGCTGTCTGGAGGCTTGGAAACAACAACAACCAAAAAAAAAAAAAAAAAAAATTACAGTGCTAGGGGACTGGAAGTCAAGTTCAAAGTGATGGCAGATCCAGTGTTTGGTGAGGACTCTCCTCCCAGTTAGACAGTAACATTTTTATTTAATTTTTAGGGTTTTATTGTTTTGTTTTGGTGTGTGTGTGTGTGTGTGTGTGTGTGTGTGTGTTGACATTCACACACCACAGGATGCATGTGGAGGTCAGATGACAAATTACTGGAATAGAATAGGGTTTTCTTCTTAACATATAAATTGTTCATTGTTACATTTGTGTGGGAGCAGGGAGAAGGCTGTGTGTGCCACAGCATGCATATATAGGAATCATGTCTTCCCTTGCTTCATGTTGATTCTGGGTTTGAACTCAGGTTGTCAGACTTGGTGGAAAGTGAGTTCACCCAATATGGGGCTTTTGCCATCCCTTTCTTTCTGCCTTTACATGGATTCTGGAGACTCTAACTCAGGTTGTCAAGCTGTAGAGCAAGGGCCCAGCCCAGACAGTAATCTTGTTGTGTCTTCACGTGGTAGACAGGACAGATCTCTTGTGTCTTCCTCTTACTAAGGGTATTTATCCCATCATGAGGTTCCCTCTCTCAGGACCTCATCTAACTCTAATGACCTCCAAAGGTCCCATTGCCAAATATCATTATCTCTGAATTAAGCTTCAACAATTACATTTAAAGGATACAAGCATTCAGTCTGCAGTACTAGAAAAAGGAGCCTTGTAGGTTCCTTCTAGCTTGGTCTGCTGGAATCCTCCTGTAATCCCAGGACTCTTAGAGACTGAGGCTTGAGAGCTCAAGAATCTGACTATGCTATAAGTTGAAGGCCAGCTGGTATTGTGTGTGTGTGTGTGTGTGTGTGTGTGTGTGTGTGTGTGTGTGTGTGTGTGTTAACATTGTATCAAAAGTAGCTTTAGGACCCAGGAGCTGTGGGAATGGATCCAGGATAAAACACTTGCCATGCAAACATGAGGACCAAAGTTCAGATTCTCAGAGCTCACATAAATGCCATGTTGATATAACAGCCCACCTATAATCTCAGAGGATAGATCTCTGCAACAAGTGGATCTTTTCAACAATATGACTAGTTACACTAGTCAGATAGGCAGCTCCAGGTTCAATTATGAGACCTCTCCTCAATGTGCCTGTCAAGAAAGACACCTAACATCAGCTTCTGGCCTCCACATGTGCAGGTGCACAACACACACACACACACACACACACACACACACACACACACACGATGGCTTTACATAGTTTTATGACTTTGTCTCTCTCTTCCTGTACACAATAGTAGAATAAAAACTCAATAGGGGAAGAAACCATATCTTTAATATTTTATGATTGCCATTATATGTCGGTGCTTTGCACAGCTCTTGATAACTGCAACATTGAATATGGACTCAGTAACTAAGTATTGAAAGATTAAGGACATAAATACCAGCCAACAAGAATATGCCCAGGACCAAGTCAACAATCAGCCATCCTTCCTTTCTGTATCTGCCCTATGTTACAGAACCATGTCTGCTTATATAAGCTTTCCATTTCTAGCATTGCCACTACTGGCCCTATATCTTTTCTTTCCCTTCTTCCTTGCTAGGTGTCTGTCATGCAAGTAGAACTCACTGCCCTCCAACCTCAGCTCATCCAAACCTCTGAGGAGACTGATAAGATGATGGTGAAAATTGAAGCAGAGACCAAAGAAGCAGATGCCAAGAAACTTCTGGTACAGGCAGATGAAAAGGAAGCTAATGCTGCTGCTGCCATCTCTCAAGCCATCAAGGTATGACCAAGCGGGAGGCATGGAGGGAATGAACATTGTCAAATGTGTGTGGTTGTGTCCACCTTGCAGATGAGACAGAGGAGGGCAGTGAGTTTTCCAAATCCCTAGTTAGGAATGAATGGAGGAGGATTTAGGGCCAAATATGCTCCATCCCACTCTGATTCAAAAGCAAGGCTCAACATGATCTGGATCTCATCTGTTAACTTTCCCCCCATTCACTCTGCTACAATGGCCCTCTGACTGTTCCTTCCCCAGGGCCATTGCACTGCCTGTTCTCTGCCTTTAGCTATCCTCATGCTGTCTTCTTCACCTCTGTCACATTTTTGTTCAGGTGTGCCTAATGTGAGTATAGATATAGAGTGAAAATCTTTTAGATGGCAGAATATTGAACCTAAAGGGCCCCATTTGAAGGTGTTTCTGATCCTGGAGAACAAGTTCTGAGAAGGGATCAGCACACATTCAGACAGCAGAAGACAGCCTCCTTATCACTGATGTGACATTACATGGATCTCAGAGCACCCTTGGTAAATGATTCCATTTGGGGATCACAGCCACCTTATGAATGGCTGGTGTCAGGATCTGAGAGTTGCTAGCGTTGGGGTCAGTGGTGAAATGGTCTCACAGAGCAATGTAGATCACTAACAGGACTGTACACCAAGGCTTGGGGCACTTAGGCTACAGCATTTGTCCCTGTGCCTTAAGGAATTAGGGAATTCCTTCAGCCATTTTCAAGCATGAGTTTGAGCAAGACGCAGTCTGTCTGGCATCTGTCCTAAATAGGTCAGGGGTCATTTTCTTGAAAAGTTCAGGCTTTCCAATTGGCATTTCTCCAATGAATCCTGAAACCTGACCTCTGGTAGATGTTTTTCAGAGTCTGATCCCTCCCTGTTCTCAGAATTCACAATGAACACCAAGTCCTGATTGTGAAAGTTGGTTCACTTACAGTCTTGGTAACTTAGACAGAGGACACAATGGAAACCATAAAAGATAGCCACTTCCAGATGCCAGGAACCAGATTCTAGTGGGCTGTTTGTCATTCAGTGGTAAAAATGGCTATACTAGACACAAATATTTATTAAACAAGTATTTTTTTATGGAAGAATGGTTTATTCCATGTCATACTAGAAGGTTATGGTCCCTATGTTTGTAAGGGGCATGACACATGTTGGCACTGTCCATGGTGGTGGGGAACCTTATAGCACAGTTTGTTCATATTTTAGCACACAAGGAAAGAGACAGATTGGCCTAGAAATAGTCTCCCCACAACTTAAAAGGCCATGCTAGGTATGTTCCATACTTAAATGGTTCTACTACCT